GCCGGTAAAAGAGATGAAAACGGAGGACAATAATCAGGGTGAACACAAGCTCCCGTTATTCGCTCATCATTTATTTTAAGGTTTCCACGTTGAACCTCTTTTGGAACAAGTTTATTTAAGTTTATATAACTTTACATTCTCCCCCAGAGGTCTATTAAAGTTTTAAAGATGGCGGCGCCATTAAAGTTTTATTCTTCTTCCCCGTTTCAAAGTCTGCAGATCAGATACACCTGATAACAGGGGGCAGAAGACTACACAAAAAATAATCTAGACTTATCGCATATTAATAAATTATTAATATCAAAAATGTATTTCTGTTTTTTTTTTTACATATTTTGTTAAAAAGCCAAATAAAGACTTCAAACCAAAAAAAAGTCTTTTTTTTTTTTTTGGTTTTATTCTTGGATCGGGCTTTAAAGGGTTAAGACTGCGTTTTGTGTTGTTTGTGTGAGTTTTGTGCATCGTGGGACTCGTACATGTGGCATGATAAGAAATACTGTCAAGAAAATGCCAACTCTGTCCTGTCGGTGGCCAAAACAACAGAGAACCCGCACCTTGAACTGAGGCCGAATGCTTGGGGGATATTTACATGCAAATAGCTCTGAGCCTCTTTCTTTTTGTTTAAGAGGAGGAGGAAGTCATCTGGAAATGTGCTCGTCTTATTATTTATCTTTCTTATTTCAAGCTTGTTCCTCCTCTGCTTTAAAAAAAAGTTGGTATATCTCTGATAGCTTGAGAGGCTGAAGTGTCAGTGAGTAAGGAGGTGCTTTCAAACTCTGGCGTAATGGTGGGAAAAAAATAAAAAAACTTGTTTCATCCACAAGGCCGAGACTCAGGTTTGTTTTATCTATAGCCCAGCTCTACTTTTCCCCTCTCAGCTCCCCTGGAAAGTAGGGATGGAACGGTTTCTGAAAACCGTCCGAACCGTTGGGTTGGACTGTCTCGGTTCGGTTGGCGTGTGTTGCGTTGGGTTCATGCTGCTGCTTTTTCTCAGAGGGAAGCGTTTACACTCCAGACCAGAAGGGGGCGCTACTGCGCCCAAAGCCAACCACCAGTAGGAAACAAGAAGAAGAAGAGAAGCAGCGTAGCCGATAATAAAAATCAAACGCGCCAACAGCAGTTTCTAGGTCTGCTGTATGGGACAATTTTGCATTTAGAGGGAAGCCCATGTTGGAATTAGCACTGTTTCCTCTGGCAATGCCAGAATCTCACCTACTTTTAACCTAAGACTGTCACAAGGATGTATCAAATGTCAGACTGCTTTTTTCTTTCAGTTTTAACCTGACTATACAAGACATAATAGATTTTCCTAACAATCAACATGTACCGAACCGAACCGAAAACCGTGACCACGAAACCGTGAATCGAACCGAACCGAGGATTTTGTGAACCGTCCCACCCCTACTGGAAAGTGCTTCCCCTGTGCCCTGTTTCGGTTTGGGGGGAGTGGGGAGGCGTTTGTACCTTCTGGCCGGTGTCGGTGGTGATGGCCAGGCCGTTGGGCACCAGGCCGGCCGTTTTGTGTTTCTTCACCAGCCTCACCGAGAACACGGGCACGGCCACCTGAGGAAGAAAAGAGCACAAACTGAGCCTAAAACAAGACCAGAGGAGTTGGGCTGAGGTCTAAAGGCGATGGAGCCTTTAGTGTGGTCCCAAAGCTCTGGAATAGCCTTTTAATATAAGAGCTGCCCAGACCATAGAGGAGTTTAAGTCCTGTTTAAAAACCCATTTATTCGACATGGCTTTTAACATTTTAACCTTATGTTGAGGTAGAGCACCTTTTTACCTTTTTTATATATCTTATTTATTTATTTATTTTTACATTAAATTCACATATACATGCTTTTTATGTAAAGCACTTTGGCAACCTTGGTTATTTTAAATGTGCTATATAAATAAAGTTTGACTTGACTTGAAAACAGCATCACGAGTGCACGGTCCCTGCAGAAAAGCGGGAAGGAACTAGAAACCAGTTTTTTTTTTTTTGTTCAGAATGTGAGGAATGCGGTGGGAATAAGCAGCTTATTGTAACCGAGCGCCTGAAGACGGGTTCGGTTTCAAGGAAATGGAGGAGAAGGTACAATGCGGCACATCAAAGGGAAAAATCCCACTGCTGGTTACAGCTTAAAGGGGACATATTATTCAAAACCAAGTTTTTAATCATTTGATTATGTACATTTGGGACTGTGGAGGGCCTATCAGCAGGCAAAGTGTGAAAAAAAATGACTCAGTCATGTTTTTGTGGGCCGCCTCAGTCTGAATCCAGGAGATAAATCAGGAGGTTTCAGGAGTGGGTAGTTTCTGACCTCATTAGCTCTAGCTCATTATAATATTCCAGCCTTTCACCTGCATGTTGCCCCCCCCCCTCAGCTTACTCCGCCTATCTGTGGAGACGAGTGGTAGCGTGAGCGTTAGCATGGTAGCGTTAGCGTGGTAGCGTTAGCGTGGTAGCGTTAGCATGGTAGCGTTAGCATTGTAGCGTTAGCGTGGTAGCGTTAGCGTGGTAGCGTTAACATGGTAGCGTTAGCGTGGTAGCTTTAGCATGGTAGCGTTAGCATGGTAGCGTTAGCGTGGTAGCGTTAGCGTGGTAGCGTTAGCGTGGTAGCGTGGTAGCGTTAGCATGGTAGCGTTAGCATGCCGACGTGGGCACACCTCCCGGAAGAAGTGGGTGGATTGCCTGTGTCTCATTTGCATTTAAAGAGACAGGCACTCCAAAGCGAGCGCTCTGAACGGGGCTGTTTTGGGTTAGGGTTAGGGTTAGGGTTAGGGTTAGGGTTAGGGTTAGGCAGGGGGACTGAACTGCTATTGGGCTTCATCCTAATGGGATTCTGACCAAAACTTGTCACAGACATTACATTAGGACACCAGGGAACTAGCTTAACTTGTTGAAATCGGGTATAGTATAATATGTCTCCTTTAAGTGGGGCTGAGCCCGGAGGCTCCGGGGACTCGATCAGACAGACACACGCTCACAGAAACGACGTGAGTCTGGAATAACTCAAATACGCTTGTCATCCCAAAACGTCTTTCAGTAGCATAATTAGTCGGGTCGCAGAGCCGGCCGTTGGCTGACGCTCCTAAACCTGAGTTGTTCATACCTTGATGTCTTTGCCGAAGAGGTTGGCATAGAAACACAACCAGTTTCTGGAAATGTAGAGACGGCCTTGTAGAAGGATATCTCTGAGCAGAGCACAGGAGTACACTAAGGGAGGAGAGACAAAACCACGTTCAGAGACAGAAGATCAAGAAAAACACATGTTTATTTACAGTGGGGTAAATAAGTATTTGACCCCTTGCTGATTTTGCAGGTTTGCCCACTTACAAAGAATGCAACGATCTATAACTTTAATCATATGTACATTCTAACAGTGAAAGAAAGAATCCCAAAGAAAATTCCAGAAAATCACATCATATGAATTTTAAAAAATTAATAACCATCTGATGAGGAAAAATAAGCATTCTTTGTAAGTGGGCAAACCTGCAAAATCAGCAAGGGGTCAAATACTTATTTTTCCCACTGTAGGTTCTTCTCTCGCCCTCGTTTATTTCCTCCGGGGAGTTTTTATTTTATTTTGTGCTGTTTTTGGTTGAACCATACAAACAGAGGAGTGGATGTTGAGTATCCTGGAAAATGGACGGTTTCCGCCCACCCTGAGCCATGGTTCTGCTCGAGGTTTCTGCCTGTTAAAAGGAAGTTTTTCCTTGCCTGTGTCGCCTAGTGCTTGCTCATGGTGGGAATTGTTGGGTTTCTGTAATTAACTTCAGAGTAGGGTCTGACCTGCTCTGTTTGGAAAGCTGTGAGACAACTGTTGTTGTGATTTGGGGCTATATAAATAAAATTGAAATTGAATTGAATTAAAACATTTCTGAGATTAAGCAGAGAGGCGTTTAAAACTATCCAAAAACACCCCACAGAAAAAAATATAGGTAAAGCTATAAGGGGTTTTCTAAATATTTTTGTAACCAGAAAAACACTCTGCTCTGATGGAAATCCTGTGTGCTTATTGGCGGCTCATTTCCGTTAGCTGTTTGTAACCATGCTCCTTTTATTGTCTGTGCACTTGGCTGGTAAATATCAGCTGAAAGGGGGTCTGTGCTCTGCTGGTTAGTTTATTTTCGAGGTCCCGCTTATGAGGGGGGACTAAAAAAAACACACAGCCCATGGACATTAGTTTTTTTTTACGCACTCTGGAGAGCTGTAAAAGTAGATTCATCTCACATCTAAATCATATTTACACAACTTAACAGCTGAAAGTTGCGTAAAAAACGACTTGGCTGTGTTCAGACTGACTTTAGAAGACGTTTTCGCCCTCATGCTAGCAGGCTAACGAAGGTTTCAGACGTCCGTATTCGGGAGCTGCTTTTCATTTCCTGGATTCTCTCTTATCTTGAACCCAACGAGCTTCAAAGTGGGTTACTTTTCCAGTATAAATGATATAAACGGTAATGGGTATGGTAAAGGTCCAGTAACCACTAAGGCCTCTGTTCAGACAGATGCCGCCAGCTGTTTTCTACTCTATAACTGGAGTGGGTCAGTAAGAGATTCTCCCCATTTAACTGATCCAGAGCAAGACTGCCACAGCCAGTTAATTTCACACCAGAAACAACCAAAAGAAAAGAATCCTGCTAAAAACCTTGTAGATTGGGTTATTCCATCATGTGTCTGGACTCTGTGCATCATCCTTCATTTGTTATCTCTTTTAAGACTAGTGTAAATGTAGAGATACACACAGAGATGTGAGGGTAAAGATAAGATAAGATAAGATAAGATGAGTGACTGAGACAGGAAAAATGTTAGTGTTCTGCTTCAGAAGAGACCAAAATGAACATTTACTCCAGCCTATGATTTACTTTAATGACTTCAGTTCAGTTTAGGTGGCTGAACTTTGAGGTAAATTAAGTAAAGAGTCATCCGTGGGGTTTTTATCTGCTGACCAGGAGCGTAAAACACACATTTGTCAACACTTACATTTATTCTGAGCCTAAAAATAAGACTATTCAGCTTTAAAAACGCTCGTATTTGGAGACGACAAAGGCTCTCCAAGGTTGCATATCGAAATTTCTATCAACACTAAGCATACTTGGTTTTTTTCCCCTGTATTTTCATATTGAATTTGATAAAAAAAGGGCTGCATACCCATCCATCCACATTACAGGTAATAGACTCAAACCCGGACGGGAGATGTAACCGTATCGTTTCACCTCTAAAGCAGTGTTTTTCAACCTTTTTTGAGCCAAGGTACATTTTTTCATTGAAAAAATCTCGAGGCACACCACCAACCAAAAATGGCAAACAAATCTGTAGCCGCCTATAGTAACACTATAGTTATTCTTATTTTATCTTAAGTGTCTTGAATAGGAATCAAATAAACACAAAAATGTATTTTTATCGTATTTTATATTTCTTCTTTCAAATTGTACTTAACACGTCCACTTCAATATGCAAAATTATATACAAAATCTAGTCATAAGGAATTGTTACATGATTACTCCACCAGTCACTACTACAGCACAGACAAAATGGAATATTATTTGCAGATAATGAATTACTTATCAAAAAATCTTTTTAGACCAATTAGGTAAAATAGGATGATTTTCTACGGCACACCTGACCATCACTAACGGCACACTAGTGTACCGAGGCACAGGGGTTGAAAAACACTGGACTAATAGACTTAAGAGGTTGCTAAAAGGGGCAACGGCAAGAATCATCTTTTCAACAAATATTTAATTTGTCTCCTTTGTCAAAGAAGCTAAAACCTTTCAGAAATGCAGAGAACATGCTCGGACTGTTAATCTGCAATAATTAAATGGAGTAGGCTGGTCCCGATCCGATATCTGGATCGGATTGGCCGCCAAAATTCTCAAAAAACGGCGTATCGGCCGGCAGGAGAAAATGTAGATCCAGACTCCAGATCCAGTTTTTTTTTTTTAAGTTAGATCCCACACGAGCATTAGCATTAGCACTAGCATTAGCATCTGTAACCACAGGTCTGTGTCCTAACCATTAAGTTGTTATCAGAGTAAATCCCTGTTCAACATGAGTCTGACAACTAAGTAAGTAGAATAAATAACTTTAAACTTTAACACACGCTCTGATAGGCCGGGATAAGATCGGAAAGTACTAAAAGCTGGATCGGGACATCCCTATTAGACATAGTAGGTTAATTCATTGACTGCCAAAGACGTCTATAGACGTCTTTTATTTTTTTCAACGCGAGTGGCTTGGGGGACGATCTGCTAAAGCTTGTCCGTAAATATCAGGCTTCTAGACAGAGTATGTACTAAGAAATTGACCCTCTAGGGGGCAGTACCACTTTTGATGGGAGATGAGCATAGACTGTAGGCAAATAAGAAAAAGGTAACGGTTCTATGAGAGAACATGTCGCCGGTGAGACGCAAGTCCAGGAAGAACGGAATAAGGTAGAAAAGGTATTTTTTTCCTGATGAAAGAAGAGAGTCTACTCTTTCTTTTGGTGTGTTCGGTGTTTACATAGTCATAGCACAAACTATTCTGTGGCTCTTGAAAAATCAGTCAAAAGCTCAAAAAACTCTGGCAGTATGGGAGATACTCTGTTCTGAAAATGGCTGGCAGTCAATGAGTTAAGGTAGTCACAGTGGTTGAAAAACACTCAAAAATGGAATATTATTTGCAGATAATTAATTACTTATCAAGAAATCTTTTTAGACCAATTAAGTGAAATTAGATGATTTTTTCTACGGCACACCTGACCATCACTCACGGCACAGTGGTTGAAAAAAAAAACACTGCTCTGAACGACATCACCCGTGTGTGAGTCTCCTACCTTTCATGAGGATCTCATCCTTGGGAACGCATGGGAACAGTTTGTGGTACTGCGAGTTGTACTTGCTGACAGTCTGTGCAGAGGGACAGGGCAGAGTCATGAGCAGCTCCTTAGTGGACCGACCCTGCACCGCGCCGGCCCCCCCCACGCCTCCTCCTCCTCCTCCTCCTCCTCCGCCGCCGTCCCCGGTTGCCGCGGACGCCACGCGCTCCCTCAGGGGCCGGGAGCTCTGCACCAGGCTCAGCACGGTGGCCCCGTACTCACACACACACTCGCGCACATCCAAGGCCTGGAGCAAGCTGCTGCAAGACACACACTGTTCCCCTGCGGGCCGTCAGTACCCAGCCGGGGGGCTCCAAACCGCTACGGCTAGCTCTAGTCCACACACGAAGATACACACACACGCACACACACACACACACACACACAGACACACACACACACACCTGGCTCTAGGGCGTACACATAAGCACACACTACGGACTAACAGCCACAAAAAGACACCTCTATTCACAGCCACTGAGCTCCGTCTTGCCTACAAGTCTCTATACTTTGTGCATCCAAACCGCTACGGCTAGCTCTAGTCCACACACACACACACACACAGACACACACACACACACACACACACAC